CGGCTTCTGGACGGCCACTCACTGCAGCTGCTGGCCGCTCATGCTGGCTGCTGGCTACATACGGTAGCCCACGGCAACCCACTGCCACAGGGGCTGCAGCCTACGCCATCGCCTCACAGCAGCCCAACTCCAGGTTGAGCTGTTGTTCAGCATCTTAGCTGTGGAGGGCAGTGTCACTGGCCCTCATATGTGGGATCCGAACTGGGGCCCTCCGACATCCCAAGCCAGTTCTTAACGAACGCACCACTCAGCTGGCCCTGGTTTCCTTTTGTTTTCCCCTTTCCCTCTTTTAGGAAGTAATCCTCTGATTTTTTTTTTTTTACATACTAAGGTTAGAATCCTCTAATTTCTTAACTGTTTACTTTAAAATTGCTGTCTGTACCATTCCTCTCTTGCCTTCATACCGTATATCTTAGAAGCAAGCTTATGCATCTCTTCTATCGAAGGCCAACCCCCATGCCTATGTAATCGATCTCATTCCTTTCACCATTAACATAACATTGTTTTTATTTTAATGTTCATAACTTTTTTTTTAACATTTTGTTCGAAAGACTATAATGTCCTACTCTTTGGTTTATCATTGACCTTACTAACATTTGAAGTAGGCTTGTTGGAAGAAAGTTCATCTGTTAAATTCTGCTCTACAGTTTGGTCTTTAAAGAATTTTATCAATTTTTAATTCATCCTTTCACATTCAATTTAAACACATTTATAGTGCTTTTAAAAATGTTTCCCCAGTAAATTTAATTTTTCTTCTGCACTCCTTTTCAGTCAATTATTTATGTATATTTATATTTCTGATAGTCATTTTGAAATAACTTAGTTGAATTTGTCAGATCATCTTTAGTTTCACATTCCCATAAAAATAAATTAGTGATCATAATTACTGTTGCATGAAGTAGAAATTGCTTAAGGATGCTTTAGAGTTCTGTTTGAAATTCTGCCAGTTCTGGGGGACAGGGGTAAGGGTGGAGACAGCACAATATAGGGTCATGGAAGAGGATAGTGAAGAGAGATTTCCCTGAAAGGGCAATCAAAGATTTCTGTCCTTCAATTTAATGGAACAAAAGAAAGGTTAATTGAGATAATGCACACTTGGGGAACATGTGCATAGTGGGTTTTTTGGGGGGCGGGGCGGGGGTGTTTAATCACTTGTCTAAATAAAGCAAAATTACTAAGTAATACTAAATTGATGAGATTTGTAAATAATGAATTCAATAAGATTATAGTGGGACTTTTTGGTAGATGTTAATTGCTGAAAAATCTCTGGAGGCTGATTTTTAGATCACAGGTTGCCACTGTTTCTTTCAGTGAAGCTGGCATTTTGGTAAAAAAACTGGGTTTTTTTTTCTGGTTTTTAACATGAAAAATGTGAAATGCCTTTTATGGTAGCATGTAAAGCAAAGTCTCACTCAGCTGTATACTCGTAAGGACAAAATTATATCAGTACTCTGAAGTATAATGAGATGTCATGATTTTATTTTTTTCATGTATTCTACCTGTATTAGCATACTTAAAATTTAATTTTTGTTGTGAATGTAGGTCAGAGCCAAATATTGCCTTAATGTTTAGAAGATAAATGAAGTGAGTAAATTGACTTAATTTGTGGAATTTAGAGAAATTGAGAGTTGAATGAATGCTTTAAAGACATTTTTTAAATTCAGTTAATACCCAGTATACTTCCCAAGTGCCAGGTAGATGAGCTTTCTGGAAGTCATAGTCCTTCTTCAGTGCCCACAGATAGCCTTGATATAACCCTCATCCCTTTAATTTCCCAAATAGCTATTATATCCATCTCTTCTATAATAATCTCAGTTTTATCACTTATTCTCTTCTGCCTGTGCTGTTTTAACAACTTTCAACTGATATACTTTCTAACCTAATTCACACTGATGCCAGTGTGATCTTTGGAAAACATAAATATGGTCCTGATACTCACCATCTTGATAACCTTAAGGGATCCCATTTTATATCATATTTCTTAGTATACCATAAAAAAGTCCTTCACAGTTTTTCCCTGACTTTATCCTCATACCTTCACCTCACACTCTGAGTTAGCTTCAGACTACTTGCAGTTTCTGGAAGTACTCAACATTCACATTTTCACGCTTTGATCATACATCTCTCTCTAGTCACCATATGTGGAATATTTATTCTCTTTAAACTAATAGGAATATTATTAAAATAAGAATACTACCACCAACAAAAGCAGTGTGGTAGTCCATATAGAGTTTTTACCAGGTGCCAGGCACTCCACCTTCATTTACTCATTTAGTTTTTGCAAAAACTCTATAAAGTAGGTACAAATAAGAAAACTGAAGCACAGGAGGCATACGTAATTTGCCGAAGGTCAAGCATCTAGAAAGTAATCATGCCAGGTCATGAACCCAGACATTTGACCCTAGAGTCTGTGCTCTTAAACTACTACACTACATTGCCTCTTCATGTACAACTGTACGTATCCCTGCTGCTGGATTCCTTTACAGATCTTATTTTCCACCTCAGAAAAACAAGCTGCTCCCTGGCTTGGATCTCATCATATAGCACTTACGACTTGTTATTGCATTTTCACTCTTCTGCTTTGCTTCATAAGGAGAGGAATATTGTGTCTTTGTATCTATCTCGTCCTTGTATTTTCAGTGTTTGGCACATATTGTAATTGCAAGGCAAATGGATAAATAAAGGCATGAAGTACCAAATTTTAAAGGTGTGGAGGGAACCTTAGAGATCATCCAGTTTAACCTTGTTTTATAGATGAAGTGCCTGAGATTAAGTGAGCATGATGGTAATATCAGATTTTAATATGGATAATTTACAAGTTAAGTTTCATTACCAGTCTTTAGTGGTTGGTAACCCATTTAATTTGCTTCAAAGCTCAGTCAGAAGAACTGGTTTTATAGTTAATTGAGAATGTTCTAGGTAGTGTTGCAGAGTCTCATTTAGGGTTCAGCATTTAACATGTTCTGTTAATACTGTGTGATCAATTGTATGTCATACCTGTTGTCGGTATGAAGTAGACAACTTGATCTGTATACATTCGTTTTTGTACATCCTCTTAAGTATTTTCTAATGTCAGATACAATGTGCTTTTTTTTTTTTTTAAAGAATTAGATTGGACATTGTAAGGAATTTTAAAAGGAATTTTAATAAATGCAGCCTTTGATACCTGTTGATAAATTTTGAATCTGGGGAATGGATATATGGAGTTAAGGATAGTATTCCCTACTCTTTGTATATTTAAAACTTTTAATAGTGAAAAATAGGGGGATACAGGGAGAGATTGGGAAAACCGTATAAACTTAAAGCTATAAGATGAATAAGGAAAATTAGAGAATAAAAAACAATAAAGCCTAAAAGTTCTAGTCTCTAGTTTGTCTATATGAAATCGAATTGTTTATTTGTAAATATCTCTACTTACTATGTATCCTTTAGTTTCTTGATGAGCTTACTCTGCTGTTGCAGAGTAAACAAGTAATTTATGTATTTTTATTGAATTCATTCAGATAAAATTTGTTCTGATAACTGGCTTTGGGTGATTTATGTGTGTATTTAGCTGAAGATCAATGATGAGAAACTCAACATATTATGTTATTAGCTTCCTAGGAGAAAAAACCCCAAATGAGCTTACTTTCGTTTTCAGTATTGCATATTACATTTGTTTTGCAATTATAATTTTGTCTTACTACTTCAGAAGTTCAGATTCTTTCACAGGATTCTAGATGGAGATTACCTTGGATGATAGGGAGGGGATAGTAAGTAAATGTTGGTTATTACTAACATCTCCTGTTAGATGTGGGCACATGGGTATTATAAGTGAATAATTTAATAAAATAGCCTTGTGTAGAGGAAAATTCTTAACACAAATATTTAACACTTTTCAGTACCTAATATAATTGTTGGGAAGTGGACATAACAAATATGATTTCTTTATATGTGTTAATATTTTAATTAAAACTTATAGTTATTTCTGTTATTCATTCTTATTTTAAGGGTTCTGATGACTGTCTTGTGAAAATCTGGGCAACTGATGATGGAAGATTATTAGCTACTTTAAGAGGACATGCTGCTGAGATATCAGACATGGCTGTAAACTTTGAGAATACCATGATAGCGGCTGGAAGTTGTGATAAAATGATCCGTGTCTGGTGTCTTCGAACGTGTGCACCTTTGGCTGTTCTTCAGGGCCACAGTGCATCTATAACATCACTACAGGTAGTTGTTTTAATCCCTGGAAAATCCTTTTTGATTATAAAGTAAATTTTAGGAAGTCACTTTTATAATCCAATATATAAAAGCCAGCTAAAACAAAGAAAGGAATATTTCTGCTTTCTTTATAAACGTGTGGACTTTAAATAACCTGGTAGTCATGACTGTCAGTTCTGGGAGTTTTCTAATTCTGTTATTGTTGCTATTTGTTTGGTAAAGAATGGGTTTATTGTTTGAACTGTGTCACCCTTGTAAAGATATTCTTTTTCTTTTATTATTTTTCAGTTCTCACCGTTGTGCAGTGGCTCAAAGAGATACCTGTCTTCTACTGGGGCAGATGGCACTATTTGTTTTTGGTTATGGGATGCCGGAACCCTTAAAATAAAGTCAGTTGCTCTTTTATTTCATAGATATGACATTAAAAACATAATATGTTTAATTTAATGGTTGAAATTGCAAAAGCTACAAAGTCAACAATAGGAATAAATTTCCTTTTTCTTCTTGAATAAGTAATGAATGCATTTTGGCTCTGCATTTATATTGCCCTCTTTCATTTTTATGCTTCTTTTTTTCCTTTTTATGCTTCAAAGAAAGTTTTCTAATGTTAACATGTTTGTTTCTTTTTTCACTTATCTTTATGCTAGCCCTTACTCTTTTCTTCAAAATACACCTGTCTTATTACCACTCTTTTTGTTTTTTTTTTTTTCCTTAAGTGATCACAAAACTGAAACCACTCTATATTCGTTAGCTATGGATTGTAAAAGTTGTGCAGTGCACTCTGGTTTAAGTTGAAGGCTCTAATTATTTTTGAAATTTTCCCCTAATCTGAGAAAAGCTAGGTCAAAATGTACAATATATTAAGTAGGGCTTTAAATATGATCACTGTATTGGAGCATTACAAATACATTGTCTGTGTATTGGAGTTGTATCATGTAAAATCTATAACTTTTTTCTTTAATATGGTTGATTATAACATTTAACATTTAATGTCAGTAGTGTTAATATAAGGCATAATCTCATATAATTGTACAATTAATGTAAATATAGTTGAATGTGACCTATTTTCTAAAGATCACTGTTTTGAATGAGCGTTATATTATAGTTGACCTAAGAGTCAAATAGTCTTAAGATTTTCACTAGAATAAATGTAAGATTCTTCTTTTTGGAGTCTTATAAAACATATTTTGTCACATTAGAAGATAAACAAGGGAGATGTTAATTAATGATGTCTAATATTGAAAATGTTTAGTTATTGATGGTACATATGCCACAGAGGCAGCACCTAGTATTTTGCTATTGTGTTCATGTTTACAAATGACTTACTTCCTAAATTATTCGTGCATTGCTATCCTACTCGGTCAAAAATTAAGAACCTATTAAATTTGATTAGGAGTAAATGTAACTAATAACTACATGTCTGGTGTAACAGTGGCTTTGGGATTGTTCTATGTGTGGATTGTATAATCGGGAGTTCCTACAAAATCTGTATGTAGAGTTTCTACGAGATCTGCTGATCGTGACACATAATGATTTTGAACTTGTTTTTAGAAAGAGAGCCATCTGTTGCTACTTATTTAATTCTGTCCTTCTGTGATTGTTTTTTGAAACAGTTGATTTCTGGTGTTGCTAGTTCCTTTAGGGTATTTTTAATTGTTTATTTTTTTGTATTGTAGTCCAAGACCTGCAAAATTTACAGAACGCCCTAGGCCTGGAGTTCAAATGATCTGTTCTTCTTTTAGTGCTGGTAAGATTTTGTTCTCCCTAATTTTCCACTTAAAGTTGGACCTTAGAAAGCTTCTAGTGGAACACATAAAATTTTGGAAAATATTTACTGTTGTAATACAAATCATATTCTCATGTACATGGCAGGGAATGGAAATTAATTTAGGAATATTTGAACTTTGCTAGAGTTTAGTTTATATACTCACATGACTATTATTTTTCTTGAAGAAGACCATAATGCTCTGGTAGGAGAGAATAAATAGTTTCAAATTTTGCTCTTATTAAAGAATAAATCTTTGAGTAGTTATCTTGCTGGAAGAAACATATTTTAAATTGGCTTTGTATTTTCATGGATCTTTGAAGTTATCCCATATAGCTAAGTAAAATAAATTTGACTGATATTTGTACAACTTCATTAACTACTTTGCTCCAAAACTGTTCTTATTTGCTCTTTAAAAGGTAGCTGTATAACAATGCTGATATTCCAATTAAGTTTTGAGTTTATGCTGCAGCATTTTGAATGAATATTAGTTTTTTAAAGCAAATTATGATCTGGAGATTTGAATTGAATTGATGAGAAAATAAAATGAAACATAAATAGATTTAATGCTTAATGTTCCTAATACCAGTTCTTTCCACATTGATTTCCAGTTTTACTTAATATTTTCATAATTGGGATAGCTGTAGTACCTGAGATAAAGTGCAAACTGATGCCATGAATCTATTTTTGCCATATTAATATCCACACATCTTTAATTTTTAACTTGCAGATTTCCACTGTTGCTTCCATGAACAGTTTTCCTTCTAGCAATAACACAAATGTAGGCATTATACAAGCATTCAGAGTACTTTAATACAATTATATATAGCACTGTTTTCGACACTGTGGGAGAATATTGATTCCAAGGAGAGAATAGATTGAATATGCAAAATAACTATAATAGAAGATAGAATGTATGTGCTATAAGACAAAGTCTTAATGAGAGTTCTCAAGAAAGCAGGGTCATTCGATTGCAGAGCTTGTGAAGACAACTTAATGAAGGTGTTGGACCCTAAAAGTTTGACAGAATTTTAACAGATGGGAGATGGGGCAAGAGAGGAACTTCAGCAATTATATGTAATCACTTAGTGAAATCATTTGTAGTGGAATGCTTTACTTCTGTAAATATAGAAAAACTTATCCTAGTCAAAGCTATGTTATAACAAACTTTATTAAATTCAGGTTAGATGTATTCTATACTGAGGATAAATAGGAATAGTTTTACAGTAAAGTATTAATCATTCAGTTGTGTGTGGTGGTAATGTTGTGTGCATTGCATTGTCTAATTTTCAGAGAATTTGAAATTGTGTTTTGCTCATAAATGTTTGCTGTTATTCTGCAGGTGGAATGTTTCTGGCCACAGGAAGCACAGATCATATTATTAGGGTTTATTTTTTTGGATCAGGTCAGCCAGAGAAAATATCAGAATTGGAGTTTCATACTGTAAGTGTTGGTAAAAAGGATTAGATGAGTACAATTTAAATAACTGTAACAGTTTATTATATTCAGGCTCCTCTTTTTGTTTGTCTGTTTACATATAGGACAAAGTTGATAGTATCCAGTTTTCCAACACTAGTAACAGGTAAAATAATTATTTTTATTCATTAAATTTAATTCCAATTTTAAAATTATGAAATAAAGGCTATTTTTATACTTAGGTTTTAATTAGAATTGTATACGAATTAACCACCTCAAATAAATATCTTCATCAGTTATACTAAAAAGTGAATATAGCCTTCACATGCATGTAAACACGTCTTTGTTTTGTTTGTAATAACGTTTATTTGGTTACTTTTAATAATAGCCACTTTATATTTTCTGTACCTATCAAAGTGTAGGGAAATTTTTAGTAGAGATTGGAAATGTATCACAGTGTAATATTTGAAGCAGAACTATCGATTGATAAACTTAGATGACATTGTGTAAATTTTTCCATGTTCTTGTTTTAGAAAGGTATTTCTAAGTACCTTGAGTAAAACAAGTCAAGTTCAGTAATATTGAGAGGAAAATCAGTATTTTTCCATTGGAAAATATGAGTTTTATATCTGAGGTAGTAAATAATGGCCTAGAATCTCTTTTGAGTGTTATTTTGAGACCTAGCTATGAATATTAGAATATGTTTGTATAAAATTTTAAGAGCCTATACAATTTTAGAAGTTCTTAGATTTGCAGGGAATATCTGACAGTAATCTTTATTGTAGTAGAATTCTGTATAAGTAAAGATGAGTGCTGTCTTTTTTAGTATTTTTAAAAACACAACTCTGGGAAAGTACATTTCTGTAAAGTATGTGTGGTTTTTCTTTGGGGGATGGGCTCCTTTTAATATAGGTTTGTAAGTGGGAGTCGTGATGGGACAGCCCGTATTTGGCAATTTAAACGAAGAGAATGGAAGAGCATTTTGTTGGATATGGCTACTCGTCCATCAGGGTAAGCGGTCAAATTTGAAATAATACATAAATATAGATAGATCATTTAGAGTATGCTATATTCCCAGTTTGATGTGATGCTCAGCCTATAAAAGTATATATCATAATCTCTGTTAAAATTATTATAATAACTAGAGGTACTATTAGAGAGGAAAGGCTTTAAATTTTATGAAATGATTTTTTGCAATACATGAAGACCTGCATTAATGATTTTTTGTTGTTGAAGATTTTATTGGGGAATTGGGGGAGGGGAACAGCATTGGAGAATCGGGGAAGGGGAACAGACAGGTAGACAAATTGGTGTTTTGTTCTTCAGTTTAGTTGTGGAGGACGTCGCTTCACTGGCCCATGTTGGTATGATGATTGCACTCTTCCTGGGTGAGGCAATCAGTCGCTGGTCATTGGTCGGCCGCTCACACTGGCTGCCAGCCACTCACGTAGCTCACAGCGGCCCACTGCAGTCCCACGGCAGCCCACTGCAGTCCCGCTGCAGCCTGCGCTATCACCCGCGACTCACAGCAGCCCAGCTCCAGGTTGAGCTGTTGTTTGTCACCTTGCTGTAGAGGGCGCAGTGTCTCACTGGCCCTCATGTGGGATCAGAACCGCGCGGCCCTGCTGCTCCAAGCTACTGCTCAGAGCTGGCGCTCCCAAGCGAGCTCTTAACCAAGCTGAGCCTCTCGGCCAGCCCAATGATTTTTTTCAGCTTAGTTTTGTTAAGGGGATGATAATACTGAAAGAATGGGTTAAGTTTCACTAGTTTTTGAAACAAAACATATTATAATGCTCTGTCTGTCACAGAGGGATGATATGGTATAATGGCCAATGGTTTTCTCCAGCTAAGAGAAATTATATTGCACCTTGTAACTGTTATTTTGGTCTTAACATCTTATCATTTTTTTCTGTTTGTATTTGTGTGTAGTAGTTTCTGATGGATTGAATAACAAAGCAGTTAGCAGGGCATGACAGCAGCAGTAAAAGATGGAGAGTGAGCAGCATGACATATAGAGTTCCTGGGTCCAGATAGAGTTAAAGCAGTGATATTTTTACTCCAAGTCATCTATTACTAGGGGCTTACGAGTACTGGAATCCTGGGCTTGCTGAGTCAGTGCAGTGATTTTTGCCATCATTCTATGTTTATTCAAACTATTCTTAATTACAGTTCAGTGACAGTTATGTTAATGAATATAAATTAAGAGATAATACATTTAGGTTTTTGTCATACTAATGATATTTATAAATAATGTCTGTATAAACAAATACTGCCTCTGTCACTTTCAGCCAAAGCCTTCAAGGAATAGAAGATAAAATCACAAAAATGAAAGTCACTATGGTAGCGTGGGATCGACATGACAATACAGTTATAACTGCAGTTAATAACATGACTCTGAAAGTTTGGAATTCTTACACTGGTCAACTAATTCATGTTCTGATGGTGAGAAAAAAGATTTAATTTTTGTCGTATTTGAAACTGAATGTAGAATGGAATATTTTCAGTGAAGAATAAAGTCTTTTATGTTAGCTAAAAGACTAACTTGCTAAATGGGTAACAGGTCTTTGCAGGAGATTGGAAATAATATTAAAATGCTGTTAAATAGGTTTGGCTTGGAAATACAGATCCTTGCTGATTTTTAGTATGTGGAGCTACATCAGTAGTATTCTCAGATTTCACCAAGTGATAGCAAAGTCCTGGACAGTGATATTAGCTCAGCTTCATTATTGTACATTGATAAAAATGAAGATTTTTGCCACTTTAGTAATTCTTAAAACTTAAATTCTAGAAATGTTTCCATATTGGTGTTTGATTGAGTTTTCTTTTTTTTAATGTTTATAATTCTTCGTTAAATATTCAAAATATTTGTTAAATATTAAAAAATATTTCAGGGTCATGAAGATGAGGTGTTTGTTCTTGAGCCACACCCATTTGATCCAAGAGTTCTTTTTTCTGCTGGTCATGATGGAAACGTGATAGTATGGGATCTGGCAAGAGGAGTCAAAATTCGATCTTATTTCAATATGGTAATTATCAGTCTTCATAGCTTTTAAAGATTTGGGGACTTCTTGACTCAGGAACTCTGCATATCACAAGGAAATCCATTTAAGAATTGGTTTAGACATTATTTTGACTGTAAATTTTAAAAAGTTGCTTATTCCACACTTTTATTTACATGCTAAATTTAAAAGAAAATTGTACATATTACAGTACATGGATATTGTGATAACTACCCTAGTTTTTTAAATAGTTTTAAAAGTGAAACTTTGATGAGAAACTCACAAATATGAAGATATAATATAGATAAGACAAAAGTTTGAAAGCTATGTGAAGAAATTATACTTAATATTATGTTATCGTACTTCATTAGTAGTCTTGTAGTATAACAGAATTTATTAAAATAACACCCATTTTAAAATTAATGCCAAAGAATCAGGCATTCTTCTCTCTTTTTAAGTTATAGTACGTTAAAATAGATATTTATGTGGGATTAAATCCTTTTCCCTCCATATTCTGCTTCTTTCATAGAATTTTAGTGTATTTTGCTAAGTATTTGAATTATAGTGGTTTAATATCACATACATCTTATTCTTCAGTGTTTCCACTCCTCTCTAACCACTATGTGAAGTATAAAGTGCTCCTCAAATACTACTGTTTAGTTAACATTTTTTTATCTACTTCCTATATATCGGTACCTATCAACAAAGAAAAATGTGTTTCTATTATTTTGGCATGTTTAGATTTTTCTTAAAAATCAATGATAGCCGATGTAGAGGCCTGACCACTGCACTGTCATCTGAAGCTGCCATTGAATAATATTGTATGTCAACTATAATTTAATACATACATAGTCATGGGATGTGGCGTATAGTGTGGGAATGAAATCAATGGAATTGTAATAGATAGGTATGATACCGGGGGTGGAGAGGCTGTGGGTGGGGGGAGGGAGGTTGTCACTTTGTAAGGGATGAAAAGGATAACTATTGCATTGTTTTGTACACCTGAAACTAATATATATATAAAAATCAGTGATAGGAATCTCTGGTAATAAATCCTAACAATAGCGTGTGTGGTCAGAATTATTTTACCAAAAAATTATTTCACAAAACAGTCTTGTGAAATATAATGGTTTGTGAAAAAATTTCGTGAAAATGATTCAATACTTGATTGATAATATTAGTAAAATTACTTCTACATAATAAGAAATAAAAAACAATTTGAGGGAGGAGTAAGCATAAGATAAAAGGAATTTTTGTTAGTGAAGGAACTAACGAGGTGTTTTTGTCACTATGGTCTTAGTGTACAATAAGGTAAGAAATAAGACTTGTCAAGTTGTTATTTTTCTAAAAAGACCGTGTTACTTATTTGAGGTACAATTGTTAGTGATGGATGGATTTCCTTAGTGATTATATGTATAGAGGAGTTTTGTTAAAAAGCAAATCTTTAAATATGCTGGTAAAGAAATTTTTTCACCTTTTCTATCTTTGTGTGTCTGGTTTGCTTCTTTTTGGGACATCTCTGTTGAAAAAGGAAATTAGTCATTTCTCAATTTGTCTTTATAATTTCAAAAGAAAACAATTTGTGGCATATATATATATATATTAGTGACTTTAGTAATTTTATATTTTCAAAGTAATTTTATATTTTCAAAGGGCATTGGTGTATTACTGAGTGTTTATAGGGAAAGTGTTCTCTCATACTTAAGTACTACTTTCACCTTTGAGTTTAAAGGTGAATTTTTCTCATCAGGTAAGTCAGTCACACTAATACTCTACCTTATCAGTAGATATGAAAATTGCAGCACCTTGAGATTGAAGTGATTTACTCTTAGACCCTTACAAATTAGTGGTACAACAAGGAGTAGAAGTCATCCATATTATAGTGTATATTCTTTGACATTAGCTAAGGGGTTAGTTATATTACTGCCTTAAATATTACTTATTGTTTAATAAAAGTTTTAAATAAGGATATTTTTCCTGCTCTTTTTGAATAAGAGCAAAGCCTATAAATGGCAGAAGAAACAAATTTATGTAATAAGTAGAATTGGATAGTAGCCATAGAATCTTCAGACTCTGAGAAAAATAAAACAAACTCAAAAGGATTAAAAATATATCCTGCATTTAAAAAAACGAGATGAGCTACTCTTCATCTCATTAGAATAAAGATACTCTGTTTAATTTTTGTCGATTTTTAATGACTTCCAAAATACTTATACATATTACCTCATTTGGGTCTCGTAAAAACCTTGTAATATAATCAGGGTAGATTTTATTATTACTGGTTTTATGAATGGGGAAACAGAGATGAAGTGCTTTGCCCAGGTTTACCTAGGTTACACAGCTATTTAGAGTCACTTGGGATTTAAACCCATGTTTTTTGTTTGTTGCTAATGTGTTCTTAAATGCTAACTGTAGTTATGGTTGGTCATTGCACAGCTAACATCCAACTATATTTAGTTAATGATTTGTCCGGGGGGAAATGTTTTCATAATGGTATTAACTCTGAGTACATCTTTTGAGATCTTACAATTTAGCTTGATGATTTTTTTTTTCCTATCTGTCTCTTAATTTGTAAGTTATCTAAGTACCCAATTTTTTGCTCTTCACTCTTTTATTCTTTTCATTGTTTGTTTTATCTATGGGCAGATGGAAGATAAAGCATCCAGCATTGCTATTAAGATTAAAACAATTTGAGGGAAGAATAGAAGCTTGTGTCCACTCTCCACTATCGTGATGAATTTTGGCTGTAGTTATAACTATTTGACTAGTAGTTAATAAGGAAGCTTATGAGTTACTCAGATACCATAAAAGTTGATTGAGTACAAATTCAATCCCTGACATTAAATTATACTAGTAATCGCAAGTTCAGTTTAGTAAATACTTCTTTGTGCACTGTGTAGAGGGACCAGTTATAGTGGAATATTCCATTTTTAAACTAGAAGTGGTGAAAGTTTAGATGAAATATTATTAAGATTAATATTTTGTGTGAGTTTTAAAATCAAAGCTTATAGCATGAATAAGTAAATTTACCATTAAACCTGTGGCCAGAAAATAAGGAATGTAAATTGCACTTTTAAAAGAACAAAAATTTTTACATACAAATTCTTACACATACAGGTTTTATCAAGTATATTTTGTGAATATTGCTTTAATATTAGTCCCTTTTTTTATAATTGCATTTTTCATTTGAAATTTATAATGCTTTTGTAAAAGGTAATGAAATTATCTAACAAATGATTGGTTTGTATTAATCAGCATTTTGTTGCACTTTTGTTACCTATTACAGAAATTAAAATTCTTTTCTGAAATTTTAAGTTAAAAATCCTATATCATCAAAAACCTTTTCAGAGGTTCAATTTTTAAATGTCTATGTTTGATATATAGTAATTACATTTTAATAAATAAATTTATTAATACACTTAATACATTTAAAATCTGAGTCATTAATTTTAATATTGTACTGATAGTCTCATTCAGATAAATATCCTAATTTCTTTTTCTGTATCAGGTCATGACAATTTTCAAAATTGTATCCTTTATTTTAAGATCACCTAAATTTGTAAATAAATTAAAAGGTTTGAGATTGAGAATTGAGATAAAGATATGTAATTCCTTCTATGCTTACATAATTTACTCATTTATTTCGTTTCCAAATCTTATAAATGGATTCTCAAGTTGCTAGTGGTTTTGTCTAGAAAGTGATGGAGTTATTTTCATTATTTTTACTGCTAGCTTTTGTAATAGAGGATCTGAATGATAAAAGCAGTTGGGGAGTGGATGTTGGGTTTGTTTTCATTACTTATAAGAAGTATATGACAGGTGAGATGATGTAACATAGGGCATGAAATGGAATAGAATACGTATTCCTTGCATTCCTTATCTCCTTTGTTGTCTCATCTTTAAAAAAAATAAAATAATCTTAAACTTTTAAAAGCATTTGTTGGAAAAGCATGATATATAAGGTAGAAACTTTGAAACTTTCTTTTTTCTTTTAACCACACAAAAAGGCTCAAGACAATATTGTTGAGAAGGTTATGAACATAAGGCAACTTTATTCTTTAAAAAAACCTAAATTCTAGGCCTTATGTTTTGTTTATCTACATCCTTCAAAAAACTATGTAACTTAGTCGTGTTTCAGCTGACCAGCCCGTATATAACTTGAGTTTCAGGGCAAAAGTAGAGTCTATTTGGATATTATATTGAAGGCAGATAGTGTGTATTATGAATATTCCATACTATTCGGGTATAGTTTAGCAAGCTTACATTTTTATTTTTGGTAGTGGCAGAAGGTAAACACTAGTGTAGCTTTGTTTTGACAAGATTTCTACACTCTATTTTAAACGCTCTAAATTCTAATTTAAATGTTAAGAGGCAAATAAATTATTCCCAGAAATAACTTGAAATTGTGTATAAACTCTGAAGTTGAGGGCTTCGTAATAGTTCCATTCCCTGAAAGAGATGGGCAACTTTAGGAGTTTATATAAAGCACAGATGTTCCTAAACTTTTTCTCTTAAATATCACAGTATAGCCAAGTTTTAGCTAATAGGTTAACTAAATGAATATTAAATTTACTTGATAAGATGAAAAGGGACTTTCAAATTCTTAGTACTAGGCCATTAGATTATTAGATAGTAAATATCTAATTATTAGATAGTAAATAAAGGTGTTTGGTCTGGGATTTGTAGATTCCACATTAGTAGCTTTCCTCATGTGTCTGGCGCTTTTGCTTTATCTTTACTGCTCTCTTTCTATACCTATTGTTCTAGCTGTGTCTGTGAATCTTTCCATGTCTTAGTATTTCTATTATGTTATTCAAAGTGCTCTTCTGGTTGCCTCTTGTCTGGTTCTGATTTTAACTGAAGAGTACAATATGTCTCTTGCTAGAAAGCAATTTTACTGAATTTGATTTTTGCTTTATTTTTGTTGTTTCATGGGTAAATTCCAAATAATTTTATTTATTTAATTAATTTTTTTCTTATTTTTATAGTTGTTAACCTTCCTTTTACTTGAGATTTAAAAAAAATGT